CCTCCAGAAGACAGAACGCTCACCTCACACAACATATACATCCCATTAACAAGTTAGCCATCTTGGTCGTCAACTCATACACATCTTCGTCTAATATTCCTGTGTGGCGCCAACAATTTGCGATTGTCCTCTGTGACACGGCTTGCCATGCCTCCTTGGCCCACTGCAGTGCTTCGAGAAGACTGACTTCATCTAGCTTGTTGACATGAGTCGAAAAGTTCTCCTTGTCTGCTTCGTCCAAAGTATCATTCGGCATTAAGCCACCCTGTCATTGTTGTTTGATAAGGCACGTGGTTGAAACCCCGAAACCTCGTACTTTCTAAACAACACCAAATTTTTCGCGCACTGTTGTTAAATTTGTGGCAATTACTTCACCATTTCCCATTCAAGTTGCCCAGATTTTTCATTAAAATTGAAATCGAAATATAATATAAAATTTGGCATGTAATGTGCAGTGCAAAAGTTCAGATCAAAATGAATTTTGTTCCAATCAAAATGATTTTCAATGGAGCGCAAGTTTGCGCGGTAACCACACATACGAATGAAATCGTGTTCGAGGTGACGACTGGAGGCTTGTCGCGCAACACAACGGCATGTCCTATGCCACAGCGTGGTGGGTTTGAACTCTGGTCGAACGACGCTGCTGCCGCGTGGAGTGTTTCGTGCGGGGCAGTCCAGGGTTACGCCAGAAATTCGAGCCACCTTCGAGAGATATCTCGATGAAAACTGTCAAAACACGTACGCGAAATGCAAAGTCTTATTGCACCAGACTTTGACGAAACAAACATCTTGGTGCAAACGATCAGCTGCCCCATCTTGGGCATGTTATACACGTTAAAAAAAGTGCGCATTGAACCGACTACATTTAACAACGACATCAACAAGCAAAGGCGACGTGATTTTGCACTCAAGCTCAAGCCACACCAAGAAAACGGGGACTATATTGTTTATTATGAAGAAACCAACTACGTCGTGTACAGCAGGCGGACCTTTAGGCGCTCCA